TTTCACATCAGGGAATCAAACACTTGGTCAGCTAGGCGACACCAGCTCCCTTTCACATCAGGGAATCAAACACTTGGTCAGCTAGGCGACACCAGCTCCCTTTCACATCAGGGAATCAAACACATGCTGTCTTTGTGAAAGGTGATGCACTGCACAACTTTACCACCATAAGGATTATACAGTGTTTTTGTGGGACACAAAAGTGGGAGTAAATTCAAGCCTAAATCATGTATTCTGAACCCTGTAACATTTTGAGGGTGAGAAACCTTTACCCTAGTACAGATGATCAAGTTCTAGCCACAGTTAACCATGCATCTTCATCAGTAGGCTCCTTCCTCCCTCCCCCCTCCCTTGGGATGGCAGAGTGCAAGAATTAGGTCACTGTGACCCTTTTGAACAAGTTTGTCCGGGACATATCTTCTATACTATTTCACCAGGAGTAACCAGGTTTGGTGCACAAGGACATCTTGGGATGGCGAGTGCAAGGAATAGGTCACTATGACCTCACTGTGACCTATACTTTGAATAGTAGGTACATCCTGACATAAGTGTACTGTTTGTTAAATACAGAAATCATTACTGGTGAGGAACTATGGATTGCCTTGCAATACTTTGCCTTGTTTTCATAATTCCACTCTCTGATCAAATTGCAATGCATTTATGTTGTATACATATATGAACATATATTACATAACTGCTGGTTAAAATTCAAAATGTTGACAAATATACTTTAATTAGAAAACCTATTAGTTTTGTGTTGAATGCTTACCAGGTTTATCCTATTTGAAAATTCAATCAGTAAATTTACATACATCATGCAGTGATCTAGATTATTAGAAATATATTTAAATATAGATTCAGAATATTTAACAATTAATATAATATAGTAGATTGTTTATGAAACAGGTACAGACCAAGTGGTCGTAATGTCGTTTCCCAGACGTTAAAGGTCTATTTTACAGGTTTATCAATCTTTAGCTTAAACAGTATTAAAGTAAATAAACTGGTAATTCTGAATAAAAAATAAATAAAAGAAGCTAGAATTTTCCAATACAGGGGAGACAACTTGAATTTAGCTTTCTCTTTGTTAATTTTAGCCAATATCTAGTGATTGGTTGCAATACGAATTGTAATACTATATATAGTAAATGATGAGCACTTACTTTCATTTGGAAGATCAGTAGGTTCCGTTCCCTAAACTACCTTAACATTGACATCAGATTTTTATATGGGATGGTTCATGTTTACTGACGAGGTGCATCACAATGACACAGGACTTCTTACTAGACAGCTGAAACCTCTACAGAACACCTGTCATCTAAGCCTGCCCTGGTCTTCTGTCCGGATATCCTTATATAGGAGGGGAGATGAAGAAATGTGTATATAAATCTACTTACAATTTTCCATGTGTACAGTAACAGTTCGCCAATGTATTGATAGTAGGTGGCTGTGTTTATCCCCGAGTGATTACTGACCACCAAACTAAGTAACTAGTAATAGGCCAATAATGACGGCCAGGTCATAGCTTCAATGCTCAAACTAGACAAACGTCAAGTGTCACACAAAACAATAAAAAGTGTGTTAATTTAGAAATTGATATCCATTTGATTAAATCGTAGCAGGCAACAAAGTTGTATTTATATATATTGAGTGGGAACGGCGTAGATGACATTTCCTAAATTATACTAGTCAGATTAATCGTATGAATGAGATACTTATCCTATTTGATTTGCACTTATATTAGTGGAAGATATGACCACAACAACTGTTTGCCTTTCTGAATGGTCGGTCTGCTTCTCCCATATCCATTGTCAGTTCTATCAGGTCCACCTTGATCAAGTGTCTGAAAGTTGTGATCCTTGGCCTCCATCTCTTGTGATTACTAAACAAATATTTATCACATATGTGTTTCAACAATCTCTACACCAGATGCTAATTAAGGTTTTCAACAAATCTATGCTCGACACTCCTCCTAGGAGATATTTGATTTCCCCAATATGTTGATGTTTTTTCCTCCCTAGTTCTTATGCGGGATTTTGGGGTGTTTTTATCATTGATCAATTTAATTAAAGACGTTTTCATGATTAACAGATAAAGGAATTTGTTTTTGATAGTAATTGTATCTTGTCTTGGTGCAATAACAGAAGAAGTATGGCAGTTATACACCGACATATGTGTCTGTAGGTGAAGGAGTAATAGTTATATACAGAAGTATAATTATGTGTGTAGGGGAAGGAGTGATAGTTATATACAGAAGTATAATTATGTGTCTGTAGGTGAAGGAGTGATAGTTATATACAGAAGTATAATTATGTGTCTGTAGGTGAAGGAGTGATAGTTATATACAGAAGTATAATTATGTGT